AAAAGTCAAAGAAACTAGCCAGTTTATAGATTTTCAAAACGTTTTCTCCGTTTTGCTGGTTTTCAAAACCTTTTGCAATGTTTTTGGGTTTTCAAAAGATTTTGCTTTTTGTGCTTTTAGGAGGGTACTAACGCGAATGAACACCTGGAAACGCTGTTAAAAGCAAACATGCTAAGCTAACTTTCTGAGAATTGTGTCAGCCAGTGATACCGACGACCAGACCTAGTAACCGTTTTAGGCGTGGCGGAGTCGGATGGCTCAGAAAGCGTGTTTTCGGCTGTGGTGTTACTGTCTACAGGCGTTTCCTCCACCATGGGTTAGGTTGATCCATCGGAGGACGAAGGACTGGCGTCGTCGTTCGACTCTGGTTCGACGTAAGCAACTTTGAGGCTGTCGATTTCTGTTGAGTTCGATGACGAAGAAGCGAGAATTATGTTGTAGGACTTTGTATGACCCGACGTAAGGTCGTTCCAGTGGTCTTCGTAGACCAGCAATGCGAACAAAGACAAACGAGCATTGGGGAAGTTTTAGGAACGTAAGACTAGCGGTGGTGTTCCCGTACTGCGGTCGATTTATTGCGCCCCATGCTCGTGGCTAGCTGCAGAGCGTAGTGCACGTCGTAGCGAGGAGTGGTCGGGCTATCGGAGAAGAAGTCGCTTGGTACTCGGAGTGGTTGTCCATAGACCTGTTCAGCGCTGGACGTTTCGAGATCGGCTTTCAGTGCTGATGGAATTCGGACCAGTACCATTAGCAGAACTACTGTCCAACTAAGTGCACTGGCGGCACTTAGCTAGGTTTTAAGCTTCTGGTGGAAACGCACTACCATTCCTTTTGCTTGAGGATGGTAGGCAGTTGTCAGGATGCGTTTGCATCCGCGGACTTTGAGTAGGTCGTCGAAAGTCGACGATTCGAATTGTGGACCTCGGTGGGTAGTCACAGTGGCTGGACAACCATGTGAAACGACTCAACGCTCGACGAATGCTGGCGTTACGGTCTCAGCGGACACGTTGGAAATTGGAATAGCTTCAGGCCAACGAGTGACGCGATCCACCATGGTCAGCATGTAGTCCATGCCTTTGGACGGCGGAAGTGGTTTAACGATGTCGAGGTGGATGTGGGCTCATCTAGTTGCTAGTGACGGGAAGCGTCGTATCGGAGCAGCAACTTGTCGATGAACTTTTGCTCGTTGGCAAGTCGGACAGTTGCGTGCCCAAAGTCTGACGTCGCGCTGCATATTGGGTCAGGCGTATCTGTCGGTAATCATCTTGACTGAAGCGCGGATGTCAGGAGGCGCGATGTAGTGCAACGTATCGAATACTTTTAGGCGAATGGCACTTGGTACCAGTGGACTTGGATATCCGTTTGAGACGTCGCAGATTATGGTACCTGTAGACGAAGGAAACGGTCTAGGTACCGACTCTAACATGGACTCTTTGAAAGATGACGTTCATTCGTTTTCGGCTTGCTGAGCAGCGGTAATGGTTGAGAGATGAGCCGCCAGATCGATCGGAACCAGGGAGTTTACTCTTAAAAGCGTGTCCTCCACAAGGTTATCCCTGCGAGACACGTGTTGGACGTCCGTCGAAAACTGAGACACGAAATATAGATGACGAACTTCACGAGGTAGTGTCTGTGTGAAGAGTCCCGGAAGGAGTAGGCGAATGGTTTTTTCTCTGTAAAGATCGTAAAGTGATTGCCTTCGAGAACATGACGAATATGGCGAACGTATACGGCGAGTAACTCGCGGCAAAATGTGCTGTATTTCGACTCAGGAGAAGAACGCTAGCGTTTGCCAATTACCTTGGGAAAACTGCTGTAGAACAGCACCGATTGCGTTTTCCGAGGCGTCGAGGGCTACGCTGATTGGAACGTGCTGTTGCATGACGGTGGAAGAGAGTGCTTGTTTGCTAGCTGCGAATGCTTTTGGTACTTCAGGCGTAAGAGCAACCACACCGTTGTTGCGTCCAAGCAGAACATCTGTGAGCGGCTGCATAAGCTCGGCGCAGCGTGGCAGGCATCGGCGATAGTTGTTGACCCATTGCTATGAAGCTTCGAATGGCAGCTAGAATCGTTGGAAAGAGGAAAGATGTGAATTGCCTGGACTCTGTCCTGCAAAGGGCGGATGCCCACGGAATCAAAGTGGCATCCGAGAGTCAGTGAACGGCTGCATGAAAATGTACTTGTCAGAGATGACGGTGACTTACGCCTTCAGCCATTCGAACAAGAGTCGTAGATGTGTTCGGTGTTCCTCTTCCAAAGTACTGGTCACCAGTATGTCGTTGATGTACGGGTGGACAAAGTCGATTCCACATACGACGGAGTAGAGGAAGCGTTGAAAGGTCTGCGCGAAGTTACGCAGATCGAATGGCATTAGTAGAAATTCGAATAGTCCAAATAGTGTACTAAAGGCGGTTTTGGTATGTCCTCGTCGGCAACCGGGATCTGATAATAAGCTCACACCAGATCGATCTTTCAGAGCTATCGAGCGCCACAAAGACCGGCTAAAATATCCTGTATGTGAGGAATAGGATAACGATCTGGAACTGTCATCTTGTTGATGGCGCGATAATCGCCACATGATCACCAGTCTCCCTAGGTTTTCGGGACCAATTGAAGGGGCGAAGACCAAGGGCCGCTGGATGGTCAGACCAACCCAAGTACGAGCACGTGCTTGAATTCCGCACGGGCGGTTTTGAACTTGTCCAGAATCAGTTATCGGGCTTCGGCGGAGACGGGCGTATCCTTGGTAACTGTGTGTTGCGGCGCTGCTGCGGCGTATTTGGGGCTACAGTTGTCAGAGACGACCAGAGTCGGCAGTCTTCAGAGAAACTCTCAAGTAACGCTTTGTCGGCCGGCGAGTTGGCAGTGGCGAACACCGGACTGAGAGATGCTACGTCGCTGGGTATTTCAGCGACGAAAAGTTTTGTTGTCTGATCGATGAGACGTTGTCGCTTTGCGTCGACGAACAAGTCGATGTGCTGAAGAAGATTTATCCCGACAATGGGATTTTGGACGTTAGCGACAGAGGATGCCCATTGAAAAGAGCGTCGCAGGCCGAGGTTAAGCGTGCGCGAGCGTTGACCGTAGACGTGGAAGCTGGTGCCGTTGGCTGCACGTAAACAATCAGTCACTTTTCCGCTTGCGTCGTTGGGATCATGTGGAAGGACGCTGATTTCTGTGCCAGTGTCGAGGAGATACCGAACTCCCGTTTTTAGATCGGTGACGAAGAATAGGCGACTGTGTTGACCAGCTACGTCAGTCGCCCCTACATGCTGGTCGGCCCGTTTCCTCTGCGAGTTGCGTTTGAAAGAACACGGTGGGCGGCACGACTTAGCCTGTAGGCCAACAAGCTGTTGGTACCATCAGTAAGAAGACATTCGGCGCGGTGATTTTGAATGAGTTGGACGTTGGCGATTTGGTGATGGACATTGACAGCTATTACCATAAGTCGTGAAATGAGTAAACTTCTTGGTGAGTGCGGCAATGTGCACCTGCATTTCGGCAATACCGTCTTTCGACTTAGCTCGAACTTGCGATATCTGGCCGTAGGATTCCCAACTTTGGTCTTCGATATGGGCCATCAGCCTTAGGGATGCGCCAGCATTGGCAGAGAGGAGGTTGCATATTTCACGTGGCAATCTAAGCAGCCACCTTTCCTTGCAAAATGTGTCGTCCACCACGTCGAGTTTGATTAAACTTTGGTTCTTTCGCAATAGCTGTGATGGCTTGAGGTCACCCAAATCCGTTTCGCTCAGAA